ATATGTGAAAGATTGTTTTCATTTTTGAGCATTTCTACAAAATCCACACCTTGTGTTCTTGCTCAGATTGCCACTGATTATGGTACCGACACTTCCGTGACCTCCCTTCTGGACACCATGGACATTTACATGCTGATTGTGGCCAACCCTGATGGCTATGTTTATACCCACACTAACGTACGTCACCAACACCCAGTGAAAACATGTTGGACTTGTAAAGGCTGCACATTGTTTTCACTGGTTTTTGTTTCTGAGGTGGATATTTGATTAGAGGACGTAACTCACCCACCATATAAATAACGGATTATTGAAATCATAGGAGGACGAAAAAGAAAATGACGATACATGCTAAGTAAAGCTGTCTCGTCTGTAGGACCGAATGTGGCGTAAGACTCGCTCCAAGATCTCAGGCTCCGTGTGCCGTGGAGTCGATCCCAACAGGAACTGGGACGCTGGCTTTGGCGGTCAGTATAGGAAAGACAGTAAATGCATTTCATGGAATTTGTATAATATAATTTTGGTTTTGTTTATAAGCAAAATCTAGTCTGTAAAAATATTTTGCATACAATAATTACCAGCCACATTATTTGGTACAGTTATCTATTTATTCATTTTTACAGAACACATAAAAGCCTCAGGTTTACACACTTTTTGGTCTTTAACCTTTGTCAAAAACTAATTTTTATGAAATATTTGCATTAAAAATAATAAAATAGCATCTAATTTTAAACTTAAATTAACTAATGTATCTATGCAAGAAAGTGGATGGAAAATAGATGAAAAATGTGACATTTTCTGTGATCAATAGTTTTGCCATCTGTGAACTTCTATTCTGTGCAAAAATGTGTGTCCTACTTTTCCATACAGAATGTCACTAATATGAACAGTGGCCAGTATTTCTGTGTTGTTATACTGTAGATGTCATCTCCCAGTGATACATTTCAGCCTCGGTTCTTCCCTCCAGGCCCCGGTGCCAGTAAGAATCCCTGCTCTGAATCCTACCACGGGCCCTCGGCTCACTCTGAAATTGAAGTGAAGAATGTGGTGAACTTGATCAAGAGCCACGGCAACTTCAAGTCCTTCATCTCTGTGCATGCCTACTCCCAGCTGCTCATGTACCCCCACGGCTATTCCTGCAGCAACGTGCCAGATCAGCCTGAGCTGGTAAGAAAGAAGAAGGTGTAGCAAACTGTGAGGAGGCATGTGATGAAATAACTTTACTGTAATTTTACTGTTTCTCATGAAACTGTGCACTGGAGCTCTCACACCAGAGAGGCCACTAAAATAGAGGATGTAGGGTGTCTTTAATTTAAAATCTTCATAGTGTTGAGGAGACTAAAATGTATAATTTGATTTGATAACACCTGTATCTGTTATCCTTAAATAACTTTAATGATTTAAAAGAGCAATATCCTGTCTGTGACTGCAGAAGACATTTACAACCTTAACTGTATAACTGGGAATCGCAATTTCTTACCTAATTAAGGTTTTATAGCTGATAATTTAAATAATTTGTTCTGGGGTTGATAAATTATAAAGTCATCTCTACCACATGTGAGCAGTTAACTCCCTTCACTCAGCTACATCTTTTTCAATAATATTCTGCTTCACATTTACAGCACACTGTCATGCAAATGGACTGAGAAACTGCCTCATTGACCCATAGTATGTAGTTACTCAAATATAACTAAGCCATCTGAGACCGGTTTGTGATTTTGAGCAACATAAGCAAACTTTTCTTGACTTGTACCCATGTAAGACAAGGTTAGAAAGCTGCTGGGGTTGCGGGTTTTTTTATTTGACGTGTGTATGTTCTGAATAAATAGAATTTAAAAAGCACACCTCTATAACCTTCTTCTTCATCATGTTCACTCCTGCATCAGTATTTTACTGTTATTCACCTAACTACAGTATTATGTCTGTTTTGGTTCCCAATAGGACTCTGTTGGCAGAGCAGCAGCACAGAAACTCACCTCCCTCTATGGCACCAGTTACAAGGTTGGAAGCATCTGCAACATCATCTGTAAGTGCCTACAGTATGTCATATTTGCCCAAACCACTTCATAGGAACTAAAAGCTGAAAACGTTACATGCTGCTTAAATGTGTGAATGCAATCTGATAAATAATCAGTGTTGGAAACTAGCTACTGTAAGTAGTAGTAGTAGTAGTTACTTAAATACAGCTTTAAGGTGTGTTTATTTCCTTTTTATGCCACTTTCTGCTTCTACATCACCACAGTTAAGTACAATATTGTGTTTTATAGTCAACAATATCCATTTATAGTCGAGTAAAGGTAGTGCCAGTTACTTTGCAGACATAATTATACATATAAATAACAAGCTTATAAAATAGGATGCATTCCTATATAGCATTTAGAGCATCCAGTAGTACAAAAAGAAGATATTGGCTCCATATTGTTACTTTGACTGGAGTATAACACCTGAATGCTTCCACTGATGTAATTCATAATAACAAATTGACAGTACTAATTACTTTAAGACTTTTCAAATACAAAGTCAGTAAATGTAGACAGGAGGTTTAAAAACTGTAGCTGTAATGACAAAAACATATGAATTTAATAAAACCACAGAAAAGATTAATTCTAGTCCATAACTGAAATAATATGGCTGACTTATATAGACAGATACTGCTATGCACACTCTTGCTTAACAGTACTTCTAGTGAGTCTCTTCCTGTCCCCCTCTCAGATCAAGCCAGTGGCGGCAGCATTGATTGGTCCTATGATGTGGGCATCAAATACTCCTTTGCCTTTGAACTGAGGGACACTGGCCGCTATGGCTTCATCCTGCCGGCCAATCAGATCATCCCCACCGCCTCTGAGACCTGGCTGGCTCTGAAACACATCATGGAGTACATCCGTGACCATCCTTATTGATGGTTATAACAATGGATGGATGATAAAGTTAAACTGACTCATCTTTCAATCTGCAGAACAGATTACTGATTTTGACTTCAGTATTGACCAATAAAATCATGAATTCTTTCCTGTGTTTCTGCACACTTTTTGTCTTTTTGCTTTCATTGGTATTACACATAACTGTGTATGAAGGGTTTTGGCTACAGTTAGGTATTAACTTAGCATATAAATCTCATCCCTCAGCGTATGTAATTTCATTGCTTTTATGGTAAAACATCCATTGTTGAACATACAAATAGCTGAATCAAGAAGTAAACACATGCAACTGTAATTGTTATTGAATTAATTGCTCAAAAAGTGTTTATAACACATTTAGTGTCCACGATTTAAAAACTCAGCATATTTAAGCTGTTTTTACTCAACTTTTAATTACTGTGTGCAACATTCACTGAATGGTTTTAAGTGGCTTTTACATTGTTTTGTCTTTATTATACTTGGAACATAAGACAGAAAACCATCCAACTCTGGCCCCTACACTCAGAAAGGATTACTATATTACTGCATTTCATACATTGTAATACAGTAAACTGAAAATTTTTCAAGTTACTTCTTATATTAAAGGCAGGGGGCTCCTGAGAGGTTATAAGAGGTTTGTTTTAAATACAAAATAGTCTCATAGCAAACAGTAATAGTTTATTTGCAGTGATAATTATGTACAAATTTAAAATAGTAAATGCACTAATTCAAGGCTTTTGAAAGCCTAGAATTCTAAATATAGCATCTTGATACTGTAATGTAAGAAAATAATCTAGGCAAAAAATAGCAAAATTGTGTAGGTATTCACATCATTTCTTTGTTTGACCCACTTAAACCTACTTTACAAAGTGTATTTTCCTTTTATAAGTAAAAAACGGAAAAGTCAGTTGGTTGTTTTAGTTGTATGGGAAAAACTAGTGAAAAGATATTTCCCGCCTCCCAATATCCTGCTGAGGCTTAATGAGTTTGCTTTCCACATTAATTAGGTGCTTGATCCACTTCAGGAAAGGCGATATTAAAATGGGTTATCTGAAACAAATTGACCTGGAAAACTTCAAGTCATGGCGAGGGAAACACGTTATTGGTCCCTTTATGCGTTTTAATTGTATAATTGGCACAAACGGATCCGGTAAGTGAACTTTTTAAAGCTAGCTTTGCCGCTCGCTAGCAGGCTAATGCTAGCTATGGGTTAATGCTAGCTTCTCCGCTATTAAGATAACATTACAGACAACCCCCCTTATCGGTCAAGGTTTTGCTAGATGCATAGATATTAGGAATATCTAGGTAACCTTTTTTGCTACACATTTGCTACGTGTTTATGGCTGAATAAAATTATAAATTATGAGTATAAACTCATTCAACATTTTTAACAACAGTTCATTTTTCTGCCGCAACGTTGATCCCAAGTTAGTGTTCAACTCCCAGTTAAGGTGAATGTTAAAGGAACCCGAGGTAGCATAAGGGACAGTATTGAGCAGCCATTCAGGTTTTGGGAGCCACCTGTTGCTGTGACATAGTCTTACACATCACAGTGAACTAACTTTAGTGTCATTTAGATGGTTTAATGTTATGTCTTAATTAGCTTAGTTCAAACTAGTAGTTTCAGACACCTATGCAGAAGTGTGATTCAAAACTAAGTGAAATGTCAAATTAGGCAAGTCCAATGTGATGGACGCCCTGAGTTTCACCCTGGGGGAACGGCCTCCCTCCTTACGAGTGAAGCACCTCAAAGACTTGATCCACGGAGCCCAAATCGGCAAGCCCGTGTCCAACACCGCTCGTGTCGCCATGCGGTACTGTGATGATGAAGACCAGGAGACCATCTTCTGTCGGAGTATCACTGGTGAATTTAATATGCTGAGTTGAAATTTATTTGCATTACATTAGATTACACTGTAATTAGGTGTTGAGGATGCATCCACAACTAGGATATAAAGCTACAATAAGTTAAGGAGAATACGTTTTAAGAATTAAAGTGGTATAGAAAAGTACAGATTAAAGCTACAGTGTCTTCAAGGACAGTATACACACAAAATCTAAACAAGTACAGCTAAATTCATGATGAATGTAATCAGTGTTGGAAAAAGTACTCAGTTTTTCCAGTTTTTATTGACATGTAAGCAGTTCAAGTCCAGGGAATAACTTTAAATGCTACAAAGCTAAGAAGTAACCTGCCAGAGTTAATAAAAAACAAAAACAGAAATCAAGTAATAGGTTAACTCATAGTTCATCTTTTCTACAACAGCGGTTAAGCCTTGAAAACCGATGCTACTATTGCTGATGACTTAACAACAACACATTTTATCTGCACAAAGACTATTACCACAGCCTCTGAGACATTGTAGTCATGCTGCAGAATAAATTTAGCATTGCTGATAGAAGAGAATCAAAACCGTGCCTAAAGTAATGCACAGTAGTATACATTGCTCAGTTTCTGCTCAAATCTGTCTTAACTGCCATTTATCATATTTTTTCAGGGGATTCCTCAGAGTATCAAATCAATGGCGTACACGTTAGCCTTGCCAAATACATGGAGGCGCTCAAGAGGATTGGCATTGTGACCAAGGCTCGAAACTGTCTGGTGTTCCAGGTAAAATGCCAAGAGACTGCACTGAAATGTGTATCAGCTGTTACGTTCATACATATGGGACATGTCTTGCATAATATTCTGTTGATAACTCTCTAGGCGGATATACAGAAGAAACATTTTGACATGTAATTTCTAGAAAAATAAATTCCACATTTAATATGCATATTAAAACACAGAGAAAACAGGACGCTGTAGAAAAACGCATTAAAATGGTTGAAGATATACATAACATTATTTCTACTCAACATATGATGGCCATTGTTTTTAAGATGTATATTAAAAAGTACCATATAAATACATACTTCCTTACAGACATATTACTCATTGTGCTTCTCACAAGGGGGCAGTGGAGTGCATAGCTTTGAAGGACCCAAAGGAGAGGACCAAGATGTTCGAGCTCATCAGTCAGTCGAGCGAGTATGCTGCAGAGTATGATAAGAAGAAAGAGGCCCTGCTGAAGGCCAAAGAGGACACACAGTTCCACTTCACCAAGAAGAAATCGGCCACTGCTGAGAAGAAACAGGTGGCCCAGGAAAACATAGAGGTAAGGCTATACAGAAGGAGGATGATGTTTCTGTCAACCCAGGTCTAGATGCTCATACATCCTCATCCCCACCACACAATTGAAACTCTTTTCTGTGAATTTTCCTACAGTAATGGGGCTTGATGTTGGACCTTGGGCTGTGAGCAGACAGAGGGCAGAGCAGCAAAAATATAATTATGGAGTCCTTAATTACTGATTCTTGTGTGCTCACAGAGATAATGCCATGGAATGTTTAGCTGGATTGCAGTATAGTGGCTTTAGCTTCTCTTGAGCTTTGATGTCAACTGATTGACTGCCCTCCCCCCCCACCTCTCTTTTTTCCAGGCTCAGAGGTACAAGGCACTGGTGGATGAACTTCACCAAAACCACCTTCAGCTGAGCCTGGCTGAGCTATACCATAATGAGAAGGGCATCAGTGTCCTTAATGACACTTTAAGGCAGAAACAACAGGATGCAGCGGCTATGAATGATAAACTGGTGAACTGGGAGCAGATGGTCAAAACCCAAAAGAAGGAACATGGCCGTCTCACTAGGCAGCAGCAGCAACTCGAGAAGGAGATCCGGTGTGTTTGTGAGGCAGTTTTGTAAGAAGGTTAAAAATGTGATTTTTGTTTATCGTTTCACGTGCTTTTAGATTTTAGGGACAGTTCTGTGGTACAGAGATTAAGTATAAACTTTCCGTATGACTTGGAAAACTATAACTGTAAAAAATTTACCGGTAACCAGTTTATCAGAGCATACACTAAAATTATAGCTAATAGGGCAGTGCGAGGTTATTTTATTTGTCTCTCAGCAGCTCTTTTGTTTTTCTGTGTCAGTATGTTTAAAAGGCAGTTCTCAAATGATGGCTTCTGCTTAGCTCAGCCAGCAGCTCTGCCTTTAACAAGCATCTCTGTGTCCCAGTGCCCAGGAGGCTGTCCTGTCCCAGTGTCAGTCCCAGTACATCAAAGTCAAGGTGAACACCTCCCATCACATGAAAAGAGCCGAGGAGCTCCATAACACCCTTAAGGAGAGTCAGAAGCTACTGGCCAGTAAAGAGGCGCAGCTGGCAGAGGATCGGAATGAGGTGGCTGAGCTGGTGAGGACCTGGAGAAACTACGAGAAGCAGCAGCAGGAAGCCTTCCATGGGAGAGACATTGAGCTGGATGAGGATCAGGTGAATGTGTGTCAAACAGCACCATCTGCTTTGACCTAGAGTCAAGTCAGTTAATGTGATGTAAATAGTACAGCTGACAACTTGGCGGCCATATCTGTAATGCTTTGTGCAGTTCAGTGTGTGGATTTGTAACAAGTCTCACTCATACAGTCTTTACAGTACAAAGGTTTATTTTTGCATGTGAAAGGAAAACATTACTATTGGAATTTTATAATGATATTTCATTTGATCCATAATCCTAACTCTAAAAATGAGCTTTCATTTATAAGTAAGTCAAGCACAGGGGACAAGTAACCAACAAACCGACATTGTTATAACGTCATTATCATATTTTTGCTTGTATTTCTGCTACAGCTAGAGAAATACAATGAGCTGAAAGAGCAGGCCCGAAAGCAGAGTGCTGTGCTCAACCAGCAGGCTGAGAAACTCAACTGGGAGGTGAAAGCGGACTACGAAAAGTTGGCTTTCGACCAGCACAGAAAGACGGAAGTGGAGGTACTGCCAGAAACACATTTCTGCTGACACCACATGCCTTTTCTTGTTCCTAAACACAAACTGAACAGCTGCTGAATGACACATATCTAATTATGTTTCACACTACTGAATCTGATCACTCTTGAAACATCAGGTTAGTATCAAGAACCACCAGTCCCAGCTGGGACATCTGACAGGCAGAGCAGAAAAGCTGGAGGAGTACACCAAGAGCTGCATGTAAGTCATGTGTACACCTTACCAGCACATGTTCCGTACAGTCTAATGGTAGCCAGTCTGTCCCGGACTGTCAGGGAGATTTAACCCTATGGTGATTGTTTAATGACAGGTTAAATACTTTGACACTGGGATAAAATCACTTAAGGAAACCAAGCATATTTTATAATGGCACTGTACGTCTCAGGACGTCTCTCAAAGAGTACCATCAGCAGGAGGTGAGTCTGAGTGCAGAGCTAGAGCGGGGCAGCCAACGCATTATAGAAGTGAACCAGGAACTAGGTCAAGTGCTGGAAGAGCTGGGGAACGCCCGTCTGGACAGCCAGGAGAGCAGACGCCAGCTGCAGCGCAAAGAGGTGCTAGAGAAGCTGTGCAGACTCTACCCTGAAAGTGTGGTAAGACAGACAGGCATAATGAGTAGGAACAATATCTTTCAACTCAAGTTGAATTCAGTTAGAAAGCTGGCTGTAAATCCCTACAAATGCATAATTACTTGTAATCCTAATAACCTTAAACCACTTCAGTACATGACCCATCATTCAAAACCTTTTCACTGATAAAGCCCTTTGTTTGGCTTAGCATTCAGCACTGGGTATACATAACTAACCGAGGAGTGTTTTTGTGCTGCTCATAAAGTCGGGCCGCACATTTAGAGAGAAATTTCTCTTTTTAGAAGGGTTATCTTTGTAGAGCCAGTTGTTCTTCAGTATCATGCATCCATTTCTTGCTCCTGTTAAAGGAAGCCTTTCATTCAGTCTCTGGAAATTGAACCAGTTTTTTGACATTTCCTGTCCCAGTATGGCCGACTCTCTGACTTGTGCAGTCCCATCCATAAGAAGTACCAGCTGGCTGTCACCAAGGTCTTTGGCCGCTACATGAATGCTATTGTGGTGACCTCAGAGAAAGTGGCCCGTGACTGTATAAGTGTCATTAAGGAGCGGCGAGCTGAACCCGAAACCTTCCTGCCCATAGACTACTTGGATGTAAGTTTCTGATACAAGTTCTTCTTTTTCTGGGAAAACCCCAAGAGATGCAGTTTTCTAACACAGTGTGCAGAATTGGTTTGTTTCTTTGTTAGTCAGCATAGTTCACATATGTACAGTGCCAAGTGTCATTGACCCTCACAACTGTGTGTCCAGGTGAGTCCTCTGAATGAGCGACTGAGAGAGGTGCCCGGTGCCAAGATGGTAGTGGATGTTGTGAAGGTTACTGCTGCCACAGGTGCTGCCCAGCTTAGAAAGGTGGTGCAGTTTGTCTGTGGTAATGCCTTGGTGTGCGAGACCATCAAAGAAGCCCGGAGTGTGGCTTTTGACAGGCAGGAACGCCTTAAGGTAAACTTGGCCCTCAGTTACAGACATGGTAGTCAGCATTACTTAAATTCACTAAGTGTAATAAAAGCAAAATTTAAAAAATGTTATTTCTTTTGCTATTAAGTTTTAAATATGCTTCCTATAGACAGTAGCTCTGGATGGCACACTGTTTGCCAAGTCAGGTGTGATCTCTGGAGGCTCCAGTGACCTGCGGACCAAAGCTCGCTGCTGGGAGGAGAAGGAGATGACACTGCTGAAGGAACGCAAGGAGCAGCTGACAGCAGAGCTCCGCGTGAGTCAGCACAAATTGTCAAATTAAACTTCCAGGACATAAAAGTCTTGATTTCATTAAAGTTAAGGACTTTAAGTCCAAAATATGAGTTTACATTACAAACATACATTATGTTCTGTCAAACGTGCTCTGTATTTATTTATGAATGACTTTGTCAAGCATAAGATAACTTCTGTGTCAGGACTTAATGAGGCTGAAGCGGAAGGAGGAAGACTTGAAACAGATCGTTGCGCAGTCTCAAGGTGCTCAGACCCGCCTCAAATGTGCCAAGACGGAGCTGGAAAACCTTCGCAAGAAAAGCATCCCTAAATACCAAGCGGTAGGGCCACAGAACTCTTGTTCTCCAATGTAACGTAAGACTGTGTTTGACATGGCTGGAATGTTTACATGCCAGCCAAAACCCTATAGTCACTAACACTTAAATCACAAAGCAAGTACCTGCGATGTACAATAATGTATCACGTTGAAGCAGGAGCAACGATGATTTGACAGTTAACATTTCTTCAGTACTTTGTCATGTCTATGCTACTGTCCTATTTTTAGGAGATTTCTCGTATGGAGAGTGAATTAGCAAACCTGGACCCTCAGATCCAGATGCAGCAGGAGAGCATGGAAGCAAAGAATGCAGCAATGAGGTCGATCAGAGACCAGATCGACCAGGTACTGCTGTCTGCACAGTTTTCAAAACCTCTGTCAGGATTTGGACTACAGTTTTCACCCTTGTGCTGGTGTTACCAGTGAATTCATTCTTACAGCAACTTTTCAGTCTCTCTGTTTCCCGTGTTGCTGTTCAGGTGGCAAAAGCATAAAAATTTAGATTAGATGATTTTACTTGGTAAAATCTGATTATAATATAATGCCTCATTTTATTGTTATGATTTGGCATAACTCAAATTGAGAACAGTCCCGCTGGCATACAGTAGGTGGGAAACAAAGCACAGTGACAGCAAAAACAAAATGTGATTTGATGATATTTCATGTTAAATAGACAGTTTCACTGGCTACCTTCTTAGTGGCTGGTAGAAACACTTCATTACCAAATCCTTCACCAGCCCTCATCTTGTGGCTGGTTATACTGTATGCACTTACCAATGCTCTGTGTATTTAGATGGAGGACTTGGTCTTTTCGGACTTCTGTGCTGAGATTGGTGTAGCTAGCATTCGAGAGTATGAGCAGGTGCACCTGAAACAGCAGACAGAGCTTGACAAGAAACGGTATGACACACCAGTATTTTCTGTACCACCTGTGCTAAACGTAACCAGCCAAATCTATGATGAATATTTAATGATAAACACCTCAGAGATAAGCATTTGCTTCTAACGAGTACTAAGTAGTAATTGTAGTACAGTTTCTATATTTATACAGTACATATGCAAGTTCTCATGTCTTCTGGAGCATAAACACTGTGATACATTTGTCACTTCAGGCTGGAGTTTGAGAGACATTGCAACCAGCTGAAAACAAAGCTTGAGTTTGAACAAGGCCATGTGGAGCAGCAGAGGCAGAAGCTCCTTATAATGGAGGAGCTCATCAACAAAGAGGAGAGAGTGTTGGCTGAGCAGAGGAAGGTACCTCAGACTGTCCATCCTATGTTAAAACCCTTCAGGATCAGTTTGTTATGTGTATTTCTGCCTTTATTTTCCTGCTCATTTTAATTGTTTATAAGCTGTTTATAGTCCCAACACCATTCAGAGCTCATGCATGTCTATGGTAGAGATTCTTTCACTTGGAGACCTTTTCAGCCTGGTGCTGCTTCTATTGCCCTACAGGATGAGGAGAAGTTGCTAGTGGAGGTGGGGCACTGTCAGAGCAAATTGCTGGATATGAAGAACCAGCTGGTGTCTAAGAAGAGCCAAGTGGTCAACGCCAAGGTTGATTTAGACCACAAAACCCAGAGCCTCAAAGAGATCAACAGGTAACACTGCCTCTAATAGTACTAGTGCTGTTGCCACTGTTCCTGTGCTGTTCTGTTATTATTGCCACCACTGCTGCTGTTACAGTGGTTCCCTCTGTGCCTGGTCCTAGACAAAGTTACGTCAAGCCAACAGTGCTTATGTGTTTTCTGGTGAATAACACTTAATTTATTGAAAATGGATAACTGTGTAGTTAACTGTGTAACAGAAACTGCTGTAACTGGGAAAATTGATTGACAGATCTATCATCACTTAATCTATGATGTTAATGCTTTAAATGCATTTGAAAGTGTTTCCATCACTAATAAACACAAGTAACTTAGGTTTTACAGTAATTATGTGATATTTTGAGGAAACTGCATTCCTTTGCACCTTTGCTTCTGCAAGTGCAGTGAGTTTCTGATTGAAATAGGTTATGGGTTGGTACAGGTAAAAAAAAGTGGGAGGATATTAATGTTTGTTTTTTTTCTGTTATAAAATATTCTGTTTTTTATAATGTCCTGACTCCTGATCTTCTGCTTTATTGATAACCAAAATAAAATCCAACAACAAATACATTTTGAGATAGGAACATTTCCCGAACATCTCTTTTTCTCTTTCTCTTAGAGAGTTGGTGACGCTCCAGAAGGAAGTGAATCATGAAGAGACAGCTTTGGAGCAGAAACGCATGGCCAGACACAACTTACTGCTCTCCTGCAAGATCCAGGATCTGCCCATCACTCTGCTTTCTGGGAGTTTGGATGAAATCAGTGAGATGCAGGTAGGACAAAGAGATGATAAGAAGTCTGTTTTGAAAATTGATTGTTCTTTGTCTCTTCTGGGTGATAATGCCATACTGTTTTTGAAGTGTACTGGATAGTTGAGCTAAAATTTGCAGTTCTGGTGTCACCTTTTTAAAGTGGCTGACTGTTATGGTTTGTGCAGCTGGACACAGAATCTGAAAGCACCTCAGCCACCATGCATATCTACGAGAGAGAGGCACAACTAGTCATCGATTACTCTGGACTGGAGGCGGAGTTCAAGGTGGGACATCAAGGCTCATCTTCTTCTCTCCGAGTTATTTTTTCATGTGACCAGCACTTGTCACAAAACAGTTGTAAAGTACATGCATAGAATATATGTGTGTACAGGATCTGCAGACAGAGAAGGAGGTGAAGGCCTATCTAGAGAAGCTGAAGGAGTCAATCTCCACCAGAGAGGGAGTGCTGCAACGCACCACTGCACCCAATCTGAAGGCGCTGGAGAAGCTGTGTGAGGTGAAGGACAAGTTACAGGGAGTGACAGAAGGTGAGTTCAAAATGAAACTCTCATTAGGTGGAAAAAAAAAGTTTTGCCAGTGGAAACCACTATCTAACATCAGAATCAGAGTCAGCTTCTTTGGCGGGGTGTGTTGGACACACGAGGAATTTGGCTCTGGTACAGCGGCTCTCAATGCGTATGTACATGGCCTTATGTAAGGCAGCAGTTGGCAAGTAACCAATATAAGACTGAGAACAGAAGTAAAGAAGTAATGTGCAATCAAGCAAAGGAATGTGCCTTCGGAGTAAAAATAAAGTACTATATACACACAGTCTGGATTTATTGGATTGATATATACAAGGTATATAGTTACAGGTATTGCACTGAGGGTTATTGTCCAGTCATACTGTCGTGGGTCAAGTCATCAGAGAGGGGGGGGCTGTCCTTGTGCCTGGTTTAGCATTTAGCACTGTAGTTACAAAATGTATATACATTTTCTACTATTAATAAGTGACCAGTGTTTCTCTTAGAGTTTTTTTTCAGCAGCTTCAGATAAGTGTAGTAATAAATGTTGAAGAATGAAACAGAAACAGGAGTTTGACCCTAAACTATTTCCACATGAACACGGTGCAGTCCCTTAAAGTTTTTATTTCCACATGGGATTTATGCCTGTTGTTTAATGTTGTAATAATACTGGGATCTAGTATAATAACTGAAGTAACTGGAATAATGATTAAGCCTTGTTTCCTCTCCCTAACTCAGCCTTTGATGCCAGCACCAGAACAGCCAGGAAGTGCAGTCAGGAGTTCGAGCAAGTCAAAGCCCAGCGCTTCCGCCTCTTCAGCCAGTGCTTTGAGCATGTGGCTGTTGTAATCGACCAGATCTATAAAACAATTTGCAGGAACAGCAGCGCTCAGGTGAAGCGATAAATCTCAACCACAGAAACACACAAATTTCTGTTTTTATTGTATTTTTCTGTAGTTGAGTCTTTTTTTCTTTCCTCCTCCAGTCATATTGGTAAATGTGAGCTGCCTTTGACTGTACTTGATTGACATAAACATTTTAGTGTGATCTGTGTTCACTTCAGGGTGAATTACTGCACACTGACCTATATAAAATAGGTGTATATCTGTGTTTAAAGTACCAATCCCCTCTTATGAAGAGCACTTTTTAGGTCAACAAAGCCCAAACTGTGTAAACAATATATCATTTTCATTAGCTATGGGCGTTGCAGAAGCTGCTCCATTTCATTTGATGTGGTATTAAAATGTCTCAAATTTAACTTGGGCAACCCTGCAAAAAGCACTGTTACAAACAAGATACCTTACATCACATTTGAATAAACTGCCATATGTGCTCCAGGCCATTCTGAGCGCAGACAATCCAGATGAACCATACCTCGGAGGCATCAACTACAGCTGTGTGGCACCAGGGAAACGCTTCATGTCCATGGACAATCTGTCTGGTGGAGAAAAAGCCATTGCTGCCCTGGCCCTGTTGTTCGCCATCCACAGGTAATACTTGTTGCATCATGTACTTATTACTGTAAGTTTGAGATGACTGATTTACTTGTCTGCTGTTTGGCACACTGGTTTTTGTGTCATTCGTCTCAGCTTCTGCCCGGCTCCTTTCTTTGTATTGGA